AAAAAAAAAAAAAAGGAAAATGGTAAGTGGGGACTGTAGAGAAAGAGCATATGGATGTTTACTCTTCTGTCTAGTATAATATTACAGGCAGGAAATGACTGGTCCAAACAAGGGTACCAGGAAAGAAACAGATAGATATATGGGGTATTTAGATATCAAATACACATCGCTTCTCGGCCTTTTGGCTAAGATCAAGTGTAGATATCAAATACAAAAGATCAGTAGCATTTGGGAAGTGACTGGATACAAGAGGTGCAAAATACTAAGGTGCAAAATGACTGCCCAGTTTTGGTTTGGACAACTGAGCAGAGGGTGAGTCATTCACGGAGCCGGAGAGCAGATAGGCCACTGGTGGAAGAAATAATGAATGCAGTTCGGACTTGCTGAGTTTGAGGTCCCTCTAAGTTATATAAGTGGAGATAGCAAAAAGGCAGCTGGACATATAGGTCTGATCTCAAAAATGGTCTGAATTCAACATAAATCTGGATAGTTATATGTCAGATCCACTGACACAGATTTTGTTCTAGAAGATACATCATATGAATTCTGCTGAGTATAGCTATCACTCAGTAAAATAATTTTAGTCTTTAGTAATTAATTAGAATCATCTTCAGAATTTAAAGAATTAAGGATTCTACTTGGCGGCACCACCTTTTCTTTAAGAATGTCACTAATTAGGTGCCTCTGAGTGGCTCAGTCGATTAAGCTTCTGACTCTTGACTTTAGCTCAGGTCATGATCTCACAGGTTCGTGAGTTCAAGTCCCACATCAGGCTCTGCCCTGACAGTGCAAAGCCTGCTCAAGATTCTCTCTCTCTTCGCTCTCTGCTCCTCCTGCACTATCTGTCTCTCTCTGTCTCTCTCTCAAAATAAACAACTTTTTTTTAAATGTCAATAATTAGAGGGGTGCCTGCTTGGTCAGCTGAGTGACTGACTCTTGATTTGGGCTCAGGTCATGATCCCAGAGTCGTGGGACTGAGCCCAGTGTCTTAAGATTCTCTCTCTCTCTCAATCTCTCTCTCTCTCTCTCTCTCTCTCTCTCTCTCTCTCTCCCCCAGTCCTGCTCTCTCTCTCCTTCTCTAAATAGATAGATAGATAGATAGATAGATAAATAAATAAATAAATTTTAAAAGACTGCCAATGATTAGAGCTCTGTGTTGACCTGATTCTTCCTGGAACACAACGTCCCTACAATCCAGACAGAATCAGAATTCAATTTTAAGTTCAGCAACTTGGCTCTATCCTAACAGCCCCTTAAGTGGATCCCAAATGCCAATTAAATAATTAATTGTTTAACTGGGAATATAACAGTCAACACATCCAAACATTAATCTGCAAATAATGGGCATTAATTCATTTATTACAACAGATATCAGAACAAGAGTTTACTGCCAGCTAGGATGAGCCAACCCAATCATTTAAGTCAAGGACACACCATATGGTATTATTATTTTATAATATGTTTCATTTTGCGTACTTCTGTAATATCTAGTATGTTATATATTATAATGTTTACTTATATGTAACATTCAAGGAAATACCATACTATCTTATAACATAAATATATGTAAAAAATAATTACCGTATGTTTTTCCTAACCAGTCAGGAAAAGAATGTGTTCTAATAATAAAGAGGTCAAAATTACCAGAGAAAAATGTTTTAAGTGTTTAAAAGTTCGAGACAGAAGACAACTGGTGGACTGCTAAAGCTTCAGGAACAATTTTTTCTCCTATAGAGAGGACCGTGTAGATTGGACCATCAGTCTGCCAAATTTTGAGTTTAAAAAAAAATTGTGTTTTATATTGGTCTACCACTGTTAAGACTTTAGGGATTATTATATGACTAAGTTCGTTTTGGGGGTTACATACCTATAAAAGATTTGCTGAATTCTTAAGTGTATTTTATTATATTCAAGAACTTGAAGCTTTGTTTAGAAGAATGCTTATAAAATTTTATTATGGGAAATCAGGTTTGTCTAACAAAAATTCTCTTTACTGAAAAGCAACTATTGCTTTGAGAGACAGTTCTAACGTTCTCTTTCATAACTGGTCTTAGCCAATGGTTTTCACTTCCACACTTGCCAAAGACCTCTCCCAATATCTCTTTACCCTAATTTTTTATTTTGCCACCCTAAGATCATTTCTCAAATCTTCTCTTCCTGATAAGCAAAATCCCTTATATGCTACAAAGATACAGCACAAAGAGGATCAGAGGACAAGGAAAGAATGGGAAGGAGAGAGAATCACAGAAGGCCATTTGAACAGTGAGAGCACTGACTGCCACTTGTTGGCAGGAAAGGGCAGGGGGACTCCGAGCTGAGTACTATCCCGCGAAAAGATACCTCCTTCTAAATCACCAAATGCTGCAGCAACTCATAAGTGGTTGTCAGGAGACAGAGTACAAGTTTGGTCCCTAGCACTGTGCCTCAGTGTGCCCTGTCCTCTTCCACACGCACAGGATGGAAGAGAGGCCATGCCATCTTCCACACAAAGCTGGGTGAGACCCTGAGAATGAATTAATGGGATATTGCCTCAGAAGCTGTAAGCCCTAGACAATTGTAATTTACTGTTACCACTGCTTTGGGTCTCTGTTGCCTCCTAATTATGTTTTGCAAAGTTTAGACGGACCTTTCTCACTGAAACCAATGCACTCAACTCAACCTTCCGCAACTCTTTATTCAGAACGTGTCTGGGTGGTCATAGGGGACAGAAGCCCTGAGTGTGTGGCAATAAACTTGGGAGTGGGGGTGGCCTTGCAGATAAAGCTAATGTTTTAATTTTAAAACAATTTGGCAATTAGACCACGTAAGAATACAAAATACATTCAACAATTAGCAATTATGACGGAAGTGCGATATAGGTCCTTGGGCAGAAAGCGTCCACGCTTTTTTACACCAGAAACCCAAACCCTGGAACGCTAGAGATAGTGGAAAGGGAAGCGAAGAGGCCAAGAATTTGCCGCTCTGCTTGAAACATAGTACCAAAAAACCGCCCAGTGCCAAAAACTGCCATTCATTCTCGGAAACGCTCCAAGGGAAGGTGATTAATACTGTTTACAGGAGCAATAAATTTTAGGTAAA